GCTATACCCTCCCCTCTTTCTTCTTTTTTTTGTTGGTACATACTTGTGTAAACTTTGCTTCATGACTTCTCAAGCCCTTTAACAGGTACTGCACATACCACGTGGTTCACAAATACCTGTATACAGTGATGCACAGATGAAATTCACAAAGTAAATTTATCTGTAGATAAATTTAGCCCTGAAACAAAAGGGAAAAAAAGAATAATTTTGACATCTTTCAAATTTGTAGGCCTTTCGATCATGAGAGACTTAACTTCTACTTCCTAGCACCACCCTGATTGTCTGGTTATCAACGTTTAGAGGTTTTCTCTCTGAGAAAGTCCTGTGTCACCACATTTCTTTTGATGTTGACTGTAGGATGCATTTTGTTTCAGGATGGTTGAAATGTGAGGAAAATAAAGCTCTTTGTGTCAGGGAAGTGATGGTTTGTGCTATTATTATCTGAACTTTGGGTTTATACCAGAGCGGGAAGTGACCTTGATGGCTTCCTCTTGCCACGTGGGAAGCCTTTCCATGACCCCGAGCCCCAGCTTCTCCCCAGTCCTGCCTCCTGAGCTGGCCTGCCCCTGCCACTCATGCCTGGGCTCCCACAGTTCCAGCCACGCTCACCTGGGAGATCTCAGAAGCAGCTGGTGGCTGACTCATCTTCCTTCCTGAGGCTAATGTCACAAACATCCCCTCGAAACTTGCTTCTCTGGGTTAAATGCCTCTGCTTGTTTATTTGGGTGATTCACCATGGTATTAGTTAATTTTCTGTGGCCTTAGCTTTTCCCTCTCTCTTTTCTTTCTAATCTTCTGGCCTTTCTTCTAAGTGTAAGGAGCCATGGAGGCCAGCGAGTAACCAAATGCTCTAAGTCCAGCTTCCTGCCCTGCTGGGAAACTTGCTTTCTATGAAACGCCCCGTGCCTCTACGGCTGGGCACTGCTGCTCCCCTCCGAGTTGTCTTCTATGGAATCTTTCCTTCTCTATCATAATCAATTTCTTCTATTTAATCTTTTGAATATTGACACATTTACACTTTCCAAAAAAGTTTAATGTTTGCACACATGGAGACGGAAAACTCTTGCTCTGACTTTGCCCCCGTCATCCAGTTCCCATGCCCTGCCTCCTGAGCAACCACTTTTGTTAGTTTCTTATATACTCTTCAAGCGTTTTTCTAAAAAATGAGAAAATGCAAGACAAAAGTGTTCCTGTTTCTCTTTCTCCTCTTCTTCTTCTTTTTTTGGTTTGTTTTATTTTTTAAAAAAAGTGTCTAATCTACACACAGTTCTTGGTTTTTTTTTTTGCTTTTTTTTTTCTCTTACTCATATATCTTGGAGACCTTTTCATAACAGTGTTGACAGTACATACAGAATTTCTCCTTTTTTCTTTTTAAGGCGCATAGTGCTGAAGCAATCTCTTTGAAACACAAACCTGGTCACGCCTCTCCTGCTCTCCTCTTAAAATGCAGATATGATTACAGACATTTCACTTCTGACACTACCGCCAACCGTCACCAGGGTTGGTGAGGAACTATCCTTTGCTTCCTGAGCATTGATAGTGTATAATGACGCATTTGAATGTTTTCTTAGAACAGCAACCATTTCGCCCCCCAATTATATTATTGAGATATAATTTGTTATATAACACTGTGTAAGTTTAAGCTGTGCAGCATAATGATTGGATGTCTGTATCTACTGTGAAATGATCACCACAATAAATTTAGTCATCGTCCATCACCTCACATCATTTGATTTTTAATATTCCACAATGCAACTTTCAAATATTGGCATTCAGGACAGAGGACTGTTGGGACATGGACACTCTTAGTCATTGCAAACGGGAGCATAAATTGATATGACCTTGTTGAAAGGCAGTTTGGCCTGAGTCCATTAGGACTCCGAAAAATGTCTCCACCCTTTGACCTGGGCTTCATTCACAGGGCTTGGTCCTAAAGGAGTATTGAGAGATACAGTCAAAGATTTATTAATAACGATATTCACTGCATGCTGTTATTCCTAGTGGTGAAACTTATAAGCATGCCAACTGCCCAACAATGTATTAATAGTTAACTGTACAGCTACATGATGGAATTGCCAGGAAGATATTAAAATTAATGCTTTTGAAAAATTTTTCATGACAGGGGCCAGTGCTCATGATATTTCGGTGAGTGGAAAGGGCAAGGTGCAGCTGTTTTTACTGAATATAATCCTGTGGAAGGAAAGACCAGCTGAGCTGTAGATAATTATAGTCCAACAATAAATATTGTGTGTATGTGTGTGAGTGTGTCTATGTGTTTAGGGCCAGGAGGTGGGGAAGTAAAAAAGCTGTATATATGTATTGACTTACGCTTGTATTGAGAATGTGTGAGTTTTTAATTACCTGCATTTAAGGGTAATAGTGAATGTCATATGTCTATACATTAAATATGGAAAACCAGGATTTGACTTTGTATAAGTTTCATTTTTGATCACTCTCATGAACAATTGAAATGAGCTGGGTATGCAGAGCTCCCAATATGGACTTTAAATCCAGACCCCTTCCTCTGTTTAAATTTTGGCAGTTATCTGGGTAGTACAGCCATAGGTACCTTTTTGTTGTTTGGTTTACAAAGGGCAGTGGGGACCCACTAAGGAAGGATTTTTAGGGCAATGACATGATTGTCTTGACTAGAACACACACTAGGACCTTGATCAAAATACGTGAACACTTTTAACCTCTGAGACAATAAAAACGACCTGGTAAGGCTATAAGGGGAAATTAAGTAGGATGAATGATATTTTTTTGCACACTGAAGTTATGAAATAATATAACTATATTCTGAAATTGTATGAGTGAGGCGGGAAAGTTAACTTTTTCAGACATGAGAAGTGGCTTAATTAAAGTTGAGGTGTCATTTTCAACTCGGATTTATAACTGTACATAAGGAATTCTCTTATAACATCATTGAGCTTAAAGATGTCCTATTTTGCCAGCTTTTTATTTCTGTCCCTACTAACTATGCCATCTTGTTAAGTCATTCATGGACTTGAATCCAGGGAGCAGAACCTTTTTGCTCATGGCATGTAACAGATTCCTACCTCAGAGACACAAGTCACTGAGACTTTTGTGGGGGAATTGGATGGGGAAAATCGGTATGTGAAAGTTTTGTTTTTTTTTTAAATTTTTTAAAATTGAAGTACAGTCAGTTACGATGTGTCAGTTTATAGTGTACAGCACAATGTCCCAGTCAAGCATGTACATACATATATTCATTTTCATATTCTTTTTCATTAAAGGTTATTACAAGATATTGAATATAGTTCCCCATGCTATACAGAAGAAACTTTTTTAAAATCTATTTTTATATAATTTATCCCTTCCCACCCCCTTTCCCTGGTAACCATAAGATTGTTTACTGTGTCTGCTAGTCTGTTTCTGTTTTGTAGATGAGTTCATAGTGTACTTTTTTCTTTTGTTTTTCTTTTTAGTTTCCACATATGAGTGATAACATATGGTATTTTTCTGAAAGTTTGTTCTTTAACGTTTTGTTTTCTGTGATGAGTGATCTTTCCAGCTGCTTGACATCTCGACGTGATTCTTTTCTTTGGCCATTATAAAATTTACTTTACTGCCTAAGTTTGTTCTTTATGCAGATTTCCCAGAATCGTTTTGAAAAAGCATGCTTGTCTTCTCATGTTTCACATGTTGCGCTTAAGATACTGAATATTGTCACCCCATCTCAATTAATTAGTACGAACCTCGGTAACGTTTCGAAAACCTCCAGATGTGTTTGCAGCTCTTCAAGAGCACACCTGACCCCTAGTGACGGGAGAAGGAAACGTGAAAGATCAAAGGAAACATAAGGGTTAAGAAGAGTTCAAAGTAGGATGGTGCTTGCTGTTTACTCTCACCTTAGACGTGGAGAACATTTTTCTCGTGTGAATTGATGAAAGGATGCTTTCATGACAGTGGCTGCAGCTGTGGAATATCTGAAAGAGGCTGCTGAGGGGAATAAAAATTGCCGCTCCCAGGAATCAATGAAGTGTCAACACCTTAGATGGGCTATCCCTGGTTTTCAAATGATTTTGGGCAGAGGGGACTTTCATGACTGTACATGTCAACTTCTGGGGGTGGGAGTGGGGAGTGGTTATGGCCCCCTGAGAACTAAGTGAATCTCCCACCTCCTGCCTAGTCTGTTCCTTCAGACAATCTGAGTTGTGCACCAGGATTCTGGGGAGTCTAAGTAGAGAAATCACTGTGACAGGACTTGGCTTAGGCCTCTCCTGGATAACCAGGGACTGGACAGTGTGTGGCATCTGCGAAAATGCCTTTGTTTTTGTATCAATGACCTCTGACAAAGAGAAATCAAATCTAGTTCAATTTGGAAATATTCACACATTGTTTCAGATGAACATTTCTCCTTGTCTGTCTTCTCTTTTCAGATAAAGAAGAAGCAGCAGGATGTGGTGAGATTTCTGGAAGCCAACAAGATAGAGTTTGAGGAGGTGGACATCACAATGTCAGAAGAACAGAGGCAGTGGATGTACAAAAACATCCCCCCGGAGAAGAAGCCTGCTCAGGGCAACCCTCTGCCACCTCAGATATTCAATGACGACCGATACTGTGGAGTAAGTAGCTAGATGGTTATCACGTTATTTCTCTGCCTGACTCAAAACACAGAGTCACCCGGAGTGCAGTTGTTTTTTATCAGTGAAGACTGTGACCTTCTCACCTAGTACCAATTCAGGTCCACAAGTCTAACAGAACGTGAAGTTGGGAGAGTGTATGAGTTCAGGGTCCCAGACTGTGTGAACGTGAATGCGTGCGTGTCTCTGTCTTCTTGCCTCCCTGTTTGTTGTGGGAAAGGGGTGGGAAGGGCACTTGTGTATGTGCGTGTTTACTGTGTTCTAAATTACTGTGTTCTATTTTTTTGATTAATACATTTTGGGAGGCAGAGTGGAAGGAGTAAATATTCTTGAATCTTCCTCTTTAGTATAAAAAAACTGCTCATTTTTTTCTGATTATAAACCGGAGTTTCCCTTTTTTATATGATCATGAGCCAGATGGGTCATTATGACATCTAAAATATGATGGGGGGACAGTATAGCTCAGTGGTAGAGCGCATGCCTACCATGCACAAGATCCTGGGTTCAATTCCCCAGTCCCTTCACTAACTAACTAAATGAAACTAATTACTTCCTCCCCCAATTTTTAAAAAAATTTTTTTAAAAAAAGGTTAAAAAAATAAAATACATTAGGGGCCTCCCTGCTATATGTAGCAGTGAGAAGCTGAAGGCACTTTTGTCTATTATGTTTTCCTTCTGACTTTATAGGTTAAGAAAAAAAATCAAGAAATGTCTTTCTAATGAGTAGTTAGGATTTGCTCTTTGCCATAGCTCTAAGTAAATGAGTCAGTGTTTATTCTGAGACGTGCACAACAGTTCTTTAAGGATGGCCTGGAGAAGGGGGTGGGACTACAGGGCAGAGGTGTTTGAGGTGAAATAAATAACTGTTGTCATTAGGATGAGCAAAAGGATAGCAGTGCTTTTGGTGGCTAGAAAGGAAACAGTTCTCCGTGAACATGAGGGAGAATGAGATGTTGAGACATAAAGCCATGAAGATTGTGCACAGGATTCTTACGTGTCATGAGGAGAAGCC